TCGTGCTGCAAAATTGCATAATTGTCAATGGCTGTGGCACGCCACTCCACTCTCTCACTCTGTAATGAGCGGTCTGCGGCGCCATTTTGAGGCACCATCACATCTGCATATTGGAAAATTATAGCTCTGAGCCCCGAATACGACGCCTGCCACATACCGAATCCGGAGCACCGAATACCACTCTGCTCCTGGCCTTTGTTTGTCCTAAGCGCTTGGCTGCGGCTGCGCAGAAGTCCAAAAGCGCGTGGTTCGGGCGCCTGGTGATGCGCAATGGGGGGCGATCGTTCTCGACGAGGTGACCTCCAGCCGAGCCACTGCGGCAAGGACCTGACTCGGAACTGGCAGGCAGTCTGCCAGCTAGCGAAGCCAACAAAAGCAGTGCAGGTCTCGGGTTTCAGAACCGAAGCTTCGAATACCCTTGCGATTTTGTGCACTTGGTAAGAAACCCGTCGCCCATCAAGGATTGGCGTTCATCGATTTATAGCTTAAATCGTTCTGAAGCCAAGTTATCCTCATTTATGCCACTAACAACCTTAAATTATAATCTTAAATCTGAACACATGCAGGGTGGTATCAGTGTATTTGTAAGTAAACCGTCAAGGGTTGGACTAATGAATTAATAAATATTATATCTACCTCATGTAACCTTGTTTAAATTTCAAAAACACAATTTTGCAAGGTGTATATTTAAAATGATTTCACTGTCAATCTACAAGTCGAGACCCGTGTCAATCACACTAATATTTTCAAAATTTAAAATTGTGGTTTTTATGAGTTTGAAGGTGTTTGAATTTTACCAATATTTTTAGGCTTTGACTTTATGTTGTGAAAAGATAAGTTAAAGAGCGTTCTATTTCCAGCAAAATGCGTCTTTGATGACCGAAATCGGCTAATCAGAACTCGAGATAATAAAATAAAATAGTCCCAAAACTAAGAAAAAGTATTTTTACACTTAAAGGACCTTAACTTTAGCGGAAAACCAAGCGTCCTTCATATAGCATTTGACGATTTTTTTGTAAACAGGTGCTATTTAAGTTAAAACTTAATTTTGGCAAAAATGTGATCCTTTATAGGGAGGAAATGAGGCATTTTGATAAAACATTCGATTTGAGACCCAGCGAAAGCACGGAAACAACTATCACCTCTTTCTTACTTTCCTTGGGGCTGCGTCTTGTAATGAGCTTCGAAACACGGGTTTTCATAATAATATTAAGCGGATGAGGGGAATCGAAGAGGACAAGGCAAGCCAACGGGCATTTGACATGCCAAAAAACACTTCTGTCACAGCGGCAGTGGCTCAGTGGAGAACACCGCATCAAGTCCGTAGGGGGCGGCTCGACCACAAAAGCGTGCCATGTACTCGCACTCCCAGCCGACCGCCGTTCTGCCTCAGCCGCACTGGAAAAATGTTCAATATAATCTGAAATAAAGTGTACACTAAAACATACATTAATTGTTGAATTACATTAGTTTTCATTTTAATTTATTTTTAGTCTTAGCACGAATTGGGGTGATATCGTCATAGGTTAGAGGAGTTTTCTTTATTTCTGAAATAAAATGTGATATTCAATTTTATAGTGGAAAACCAATTTATGAGCAAGCGTTCTTTTTTTAATTTGGTTATATTTAATTTCTCTATGCGTTTCCCCCAACTAAAAAGTGTGCAGGCGCCTTTTGAATTGGTTCGCTGGTTCGATTCCAGTTCGGTTCGCAAATTGAGCACCGCGTGCGCCCCGGCAATTATTTCGCTATAATAAACCCGATACGGAGCGATGGTCTATCTTCGATGGCTACCGCAAATGCGCACAGTAGCCAAGAAGTAGTTTGGCTATTTAATTTCAATTTTACTATGTTTTAACGGGCACTAAGATCCAGCGGCAGGTATCAAAGCAGTTTAGTTTTTATAGTTCGTGCAAATTAAATTAGCTTACTCTTTTCTGTGCGGATGCCTTTCACTAAGCTGGCTTTAATATTTTATGATTTTGTTTATCACAAACTTATTGTTAAACATTAAAGGAGAGAGACTACAGTTAGTTAAGACTTACAAATATTATTGCAAATGGCAGTACACGTAGCGAAGGTGTACGTTGTTCAATGTACAGAACACCATCCGGCGGACAAGATATCTGGTGACAGGATCATAGGAATATTATATTGTAAATGTTGTATGTTAGTGTATTTCAACTTCTACTGCTTGAACGAAAAAATGGGGAATTTTTTCGAAAATTGTGAGTTTTTTTTCGTATTTGTGGTGTGGTGCAGTATGATTTCCTTCCACCCGGCGAAAATGTTAGTAAGGAATACTATTTGAGCGTTATGCGTCGTTTTCGTGGACAACAACACTTGGTTTTTGCATAACGAAAATGGACCAGATCACATTTCACTCGTCCTTCGTGACCATTTTGCCAAGAATGCGACACATTTCGTACTCGCCTGGTTTGGTGACTTCTGGCTATTCCCACAGTTGTGTGTTTTTAGATTTTTACATATTACATGTGCTCTCATGTACTCTTAATCACGATCGGGGGATCTATGACCCATATGGCAGTAGCTTTAAAGATGCTGAATTTGTGAAAAGATAACTTATAACTTTTTGAGGTAAACGACCATAAGTACAAAACATTTTAACACTATATCCCCAATAAATTTTGGTCGGATCGAATTGAAGTTTTTGAAGTGAATCCAAAAAACATTTTACTTTTAAAAAAGTCGATTGTTTTTTTGATAGCCCTATGTAATCCGTTAAGTAAATCGAAAACATTTTTATTGCTTTGGGAAGACCTCTGTCGGTTAAAGAATTTTCGAATGCCAAACGGATGTCCCACCTTACTCGCCTAATGCAATCGGCTGACGGATTAAAATTTGCCAACACTAATACTAATGGCTTAAAAATACTTCACGAGAACTTTGTCAAAGTCCTTGATGTTTTATGTTGATTATCGTGTCCTCAGATTTTAGATTAATTGCAATCGTTTATTTATTAATGTCTTAAAAATTAATTTGTGGTTGCATCTCAAAATCTGGTAAATTTTAACCCTTACAATTATTGTAATCCCGCCCACCATGTTGAGATAATATGTGAACATTCTATATTATGTTCGGTTTATTTTGGTAAAAACATACTAATTATTGATTTTATCTGCCTAACAATATGTTTTAGTTTAAAATACCACTTTATTTAAAATTGAAATAGTGAAAAAGGGCTTGCGGCAGATATATTTTTGCCAACTTCGCCAAAAATATTTCTAAAATTAACAAAAGTATTGTAATTTGTGTATACGCCAACTATTGTCTCTTTCTTGGATTTTTTGCATTAAGGTTACAGATAACTTATGCGCATAGAAAAAACCCACATCTGGCCAAAATGTAATCATTTCTCTTGACAAGAGACTGTCGCTGCAGTCAGCTGTTTTAATTCACACCAAAAGGGAATTTCCCTAAGGTCCCCCAACACACAGGGCACATCCGATCGTATGGTATTTTTTTGTGCAAACCTTTATTAGAGATGCTGACCGACCGGATTACCATGTTTATCTTATTGCTGTTAAAAAGATAATCGATTCAATATGGTCAATTTCTGTATTTAAAGAAAAAGGGCTGCTTAGAACTTTCCATATCGTATTCTTGTGTGTACTCTTCTTTCATTTTTCCATATATATGATCTTTCAAGGTTTGTTAGAAAAAATGATTACTACGTTTTCCACGCCTAGGGCCTTATGCACACATCCTAAAAATCAAAGCACATTAAGTTCACTATAGTCTCCGGAATACATATGTATAACCTTTGCGAATACAATTAGCATTGACTGTCTTATTACAAATAGCGCAGGAATCTGGCCACATATATAAAAACCAGTTCCCTCTTTTTTCTTAAACGCAATCACTTAGATTTTAGGGACCTAAAATCATTAGGATAGTGCAGAAATAAGGCTGCAGATACAGTATTACGTAGCCATAAAGACCAGGAACAAGGTTAGCCATCTAGAAATAGTCTTTGTAAGTACGATAATTTATTTTAAGTTTAGTGTCCTTTCAATCACCAAGGTCCCTGAACAAAGGCCATCAAATCAGTTTTTGGAAAATGGTTGTCGCCAGTCGCCACGTTTTAACCTGTTGGCAGAAGATTAACCAGGTTCGCATGCCGGTAGCCCGAAGAATGGAACTACGACGCACGCCACACCGTTCCGCCATCGACGACGCCAAATGCAAGGTGGTTCGTTTAGGGCATCTGTACTCGCTCCTCGTCTCGAATATCCTAAGCTTTGCTATGCATCTTTTACATGTATGCCGACATATTTTGGGTTGCCAGGATCGCTAAGGAAAGGCATACGAAGGCAACAATTGCCATTTCACGACCTATTAACTGCCCTGAAGTGTTCTCCGGTCAACGAGAGCTTAGCGTGATTTCGTCCCCCGACGATTATGTTGGCTGGGCTGGCACCGACTAGTAATGCCCCTTAAAAAGCACACTTGGTTGCGGGTGCGCAGTAGCTTGTTCATTTTCATCAATTCAGCAATTCAACTGTTTAGGAATTTGTCATTGTATTTTTCGTCGTTTACCGTGATTGTTTACGTTTTGCTCGTTAGAGGTGGTACTCTTTGCTTTTTTGAGACTTTGATTTATATCGATAGTTTATGGCGTGCACTGTGGGTAGTTATGTTAATAACAAATTAATTACGAAAATTGCCCTTTTAAACCAAAACTTAAGGTAGACACATTCTCACAAGTGATCAACCTTTCGCACACGAATTCCTGGGCTTAACCTATTTTGTCACGTATTTATGTAGTTTCCAAGTAAAACATTAGGCCAATTACCTTACAAGCACTAACGTAACGCAGCTGAGAAAGCATTTTTGTGTTTGGTTCATGATGCACTATTTAAATTTAAACATTTTTCCATAAACTATCGCATAAAACATCGGGAGTAGACCATGCGATACTTTCCCAGCGTTCGCTGGTAACATTGAAAACGCAGCCCCTTATCGATACATCGATTGCCTTTGCGTATCGAAACATCGATTGGCCACAGCTGCTTGTGAATGAAAAAAGCGTAAAATCGAATCGTAAAACGAATTCGCGAAAGGCCATTGCCGCTCACCCCGCAGAACCAAAGGCCAGTGGATCGAGACGCCGAGAGAGCAGCGAGAAGGCCAGGAGACCCAAGGAGATCCTGCCGGGACAAAAACCAGTCGCTCGTCCTTTCCACCGGCACACAATGGAGCTACTATAGTGTGTGTGTGCTTGAGTGCGAGAGTGCGGGCGTGTGTGTGCGTGGTTGTAGTAGTGGGCGAGTGCGTGTAGTAGTAGTACGAACGAGTGTTCGAGGCGACGGGGAAAACAAAAAGAAATCTAGGTTTGCTCGAGACTTCGGCCGGAATCCCGGGCGACATGAGTGCGTAGAGGTGACGTTCGACCGCTGATGCGCCATCACCTGTTTCCGGCGCTGGAGGCAGTGCATCCCACCGGCGGAGTCGAAGGGCAATAGGGGACTACACAACCCGACTCCGACCCCGTTATGCTGCTGGCCGCAGCCGGTCTGCCGGCCTACGACGCCGGAAAGCTGGCCAGTAATGCCGGATCTGGCTCAGGCGTGGGCTCTGGCGGAGTGGGCACTCCCACGTCGTCCGCGTCCCGTCCCAGCGCAGCCAGTGCCTTGATGAAGACCCTGTCCGTGCGCCTGCATCGCGGCACTGAGTTCATCAAGGACACCGTCCAGAAGGCCCTGGTCATGTCCGCTCCCACGCCCGTGGTCCCAGCCCCCGCGCCAGCGCCCAAGATCCTGGACCACAGCCTCAAGCGCAAGCTCAGCGGCGCTGGTGGACTAATGGGCTGCAGCAGCATTGGCAGCACAACCTCTTCCATCGCCGTCAGTTCGAGGAGCCACCACTACACCCTGACCAGTCAGGCGCCATCGGCCCAGGGGCTTCCCCTGACCAGCCAAGTGCCCACAGCCGCCTTTCTGCGCGCCTACACGGTTGCTCCTACGGCCCTCCATCGATCCGCAGCCGCCCGCAAGCGCAATCCCAGCACCGACAGTCTGCTCATGGACCTGTGCCTCTTCAAGCCCATCCGGCCCATGCCCATAACGCCAATTAAAATGTGAGTATGCTCTTATACTTGATAGCAGTGATATTTGAGATGTTGATGCTCTCACGTTCTCTAAGCACAAAGTTTGCTCGGCTCTTTCCGGAATTTGTTAACCTAACTCCAACCGACAGTAAATAAAAGTTTTTTCACAAATGAGTCGATTGGATCATAGGGCCGGATCCCATAACGATCCTTGTGTTAAATATAATTGAAAAGATATCAAATCCTTTTTGTCCTCCACTTTGATGTTTCCAAATTACACTGATGCGTTTAATAACTCCAGTCAATCTGCCTTAAGTTTTGAATCGATGAGGGTTTCTTAATACTTGGTTTTTTCCCATACCATCACTTGATTTTCCATGATTCCTGATATGAGGTTTTGTTCATACTCAGGAGATCCGAACTTAATATTTATAAGTCTTTCGACATTAGTTTTGAGTACAATCATATTTTTATAATTTGTTGATAATATTACAATACTATTCAAAAGATTTATAAAGTCGACTTAATAGAATCATTTGTCCAATCGAGAGTGGAGTAACATAATTTGAACTGTGAAGCGACATTATGCATCGAATAAAAATATTAAGAATAGCTATATTAAAACAAACAGAAAAAGTATTTTGTAAATTGAGCAAAAGCTTATTACTCACTTATTGTATCGTTAACAGCCACAAATTCCGCGGCTTTGAACTGAAAAAACCAAAATTTGTGCCCGCTGCGAATCCGGACAGCGAAGAGGACGAGGACGACGACGAAGATGAATCAGTCCACAAACCAAAGCTCAGGTAAGTGGCCTTTTAAACACCTAAGTATCCCTCTAACGAATGTATCTTTATTAGCAACTTGACATTGCCAACAATTGAGGGATCGGCCTTCGTCCCGATGCCCTACATAGAAACAACCAACACCGCCATCACCGCAACTACCACCACTAACAGCAGGAGCAGATCGCGTTCCCTCAACACACACACCTCAGGCTCTGCCCAGGCCATTACCAACCCAAAGCCAAAGCGTCGTCGTCGCGCTCCCATGCTGACGGCCAAAAGACGACGCAAGGCACAAGATACGGAATCAACCTCTTCAGCGGACGGAGTAACTGAAGTAAAACCTGCCGCTAAGCGCAAGGCAACGGCAGCAAGTGGAGGAGCCAAGCGCAGCCGTGGAGCATCGTTCACTGCACCCACGTCAGTGGATTTAGTGCAATCTTCCGTACCGATTAAAGCTCCAACCAAACGCAAAGCATCCTGTGGGAGTGAAGCCGCTAAACGCAATCGTGGAGCTTCTGTGGTAGATGCCACTCCAATCACAACCCAATCCACCTCTTCAGCTGATCTAACTGTAGCAGCAAGCAAAACCGCAACTAAACGCAAGGCAGCCACTGAAAGAGGAGCTACCAAGCGCAGTCGTGGATCAGTAGCCTTGTCTGCGCGTCCCTCACCGCCCATGACACGTCAGCGGGCCCGTCAGCAGATCTCCGCCAGCAACTGAGCTCCAAGAACTTGGATGCTCGCTCATTGGAACGTAAGCCAATATGGCAGAAACAAGAAAAACAAAGCCCCACAATAGAAAAGAGTCGCGTAGGAGACTCGCTAAGCTCTAAGTCTTTTGGTTCTAGTTACTGTTTATGTGTACGTGTTGCGTCTTTCCTTTGAAGTAAGTGGAAATGTAAGATAAGCCAGTAACAATGTAATGTACACGTAGTTCAACTCGTCTCGTTTGATTTGTGCAATCTAAATTTGTATGCAAACGCTTGTATTGTCGAGCTTTTAAATGCCTCTCAGTTCATTTTTTTGGTAAAAATTATACAGCATTCTGGCTTGGTCTTCAAGACTGATAACAAAAAGCATCCGCTACGAATACAATATTATACAAAATGATATATGCGAAATGAAAATTTAGATGTTTATGTTTAGCCTTTATACAGAAAATCATAAAGCAAAAAGTATTAAATGTATAAAGAAAATTGTAAAATTTAAGTCATTCCTGATAATAATATTTCAACCACAAAACCTTTTGTCACTATAATTTTACATTAATTTGGGTGTTTTTTTTCGATGAATGTACAAACAACGTTCTATGTTTTCGGTTCGATTTAGTTTATGTGCTTGTCTTTGAGGCAGGTAGTAAGTATGTATGGAAAGAACAGGATGATGGAGAAAACGCCACAACTAAAATTAATTTTCCTACTTTAATTAAGTTTGTTAGAATTTATAGCTTAGAGACAAAGTAAACAATTCATTCATACAATTATAAATATTTATATGTAATACTATCTGTATCTTAACATACGATCTATCTGTAAGGACAGCAATGATATAAAAAATATAGAAATCTATATATAAAACATGCCGGTCAAATCAACTGTGTGTTGTGATATGAACTAATTTATAAAACCAAGCGAAAGACAAGCGGAGCCCATTTAAATTATTTGCTTGACCTACACAACACCCAAAAACTCAAAAATCTATTTAAACTTTTGATATCATTAAGAAGTAATAGTTGGAATGTACGAACGAAATTCAAATTTACGGAACACAAAAATGTTTAAATTTCTCCCTAAGCTAAGGCAATTTCAAGCGATTCCAAACGAAGCAAAATTACTTAAACATACACCGAGTTGTATGCGTCAATAAAAAATAACTACAAATAAAATGAAAATTTGGTAATTTATTATAGAATCTATCTACAAAAAGTTTATAATAATCAAATAATAAAAAAACAGGATAGATCGCTTTAGTCGACGGCCCCGATACCCGTTACTCACTAAGGGAGTGCGAGGGAGATGAAGATCTGCAAGCAGCAAATGGACTGTTCCCGAAATCGAAACAGCGCCACCTAGCGTCGATTTTTTATTTGCTTAAAACTTTTAATGGATGTTCTGATTGAATAATCAAGCAAAATTTTTTTCTTTTCTTTCTTCATTATCATGATTTGAATCAAAAAATGGTTTTTCTTGGATCGCGATTTAAAAGATAAGCCTTGAAAAGTTTATATTGCTGGTCATCCATGGTCTTTTTTTCGAGGGTGAGGGCTGTTGTTGCTTTAAAACACAGAGGTTTTTCTTGGCAGTCTGCCAATTCACAATTCATTCGCTGGTGCACTTTTCAAAATAAAAATTTTATTTTGTTTGTAAATTTGTCAGTTTGTCCCAAAACGTTACTTTAGAGTTCTAAAAATGCTAGACGATGTTAAATAGCTCAATATAAGAAACATTAGTTCTACCACTATTGGAAAAACTAGCTAGTTTGGCCAGAAAACAGCTATAAAAAGCCAAATTTTGCAGACCCGTAACTTGTGAACTACTAAACATAAAGGCTTGAGCTATATGTCGTTAGAAAAGTATTTTGGAATACTTTGAACGCCTTTTTAAAATAATTTGTCTAATACCACCATTTTAAAATTGTGCGTTAAAGCTTATCTTTTTAGGTTTTGTTTAGCATTTTTCTGATATACGACTTTTGATATACGACACATTGTTGTAAAAAGTCTCGTGTCTAATTATTAGTCAACAAAATGACATTTACCATTCAAAATTTACACTGCTGAGCATTTTTTTGTGCGTATCCTTTTTAATAGAAAGCTTTACTTCTACGACTTTTGGAAACTACTGCTTTGAAACAACTTTATTCCTTCTCTGCGTTAAAACTTCTGACGAAACTAATGCATTTTTAACACGCTTACATGTGAAAAATTTTAAATGTGCGTTCACAGAATGCTGCGAATACAACCTTTACAGCGAATAAAGTAAAAACTATCGTATTAATTTTAGTTTAACATGTTTCTGATCATGTATTGAGTTCTATGTGAAACTAATTTTAAACCGATAAAAACTTGCTGCGCATGAACCCTAGAATCTGCATGAGAAACAAATAATTTTTCACTTATCTTACACTTTTAAAGTGAAAATATTTGATTCGCAAGAGCTTAGTACTTAACCTCTTGAATTAAGCATCGAACTTTACAAATGCTCATAACATCAGACTTTCTGCTCCTAACTTATTATTATTTTATATCTATCGATTGAAAGTTCGTCTTCTGGTTCATTCCATCGTTTCCATTTTGGTAGGCATGACGTTCCACAGATCCTGTAATTTGTACCCGTCTCTAATTTGCTCCATGGCGAACCCAGTCCTTGCAGTAGACCGGCTCTCTTTCTCCCTGGGTAGATCCACTTGGCCCTTTCCCGAACAGCCTTCAGCGAGGTAGCTATTAAGCTTGGTGTTGATCTCCCGCTCCTGCCTCTCGTCCAGCTCCTCGAAGTTATCGACCTTAAACTGAGAGGACTGGGCCGCTTCCTCGGCTGCAGCTGCCAGTCGCTCCCGGGCATCCTGGACGTTATATTGTATACCAAAGTTAGGCTGCTCGCCATAGATGGAGTGCAGAGAACAGAGCTCTTTAAACAGCTCATTTAGTCGTTCGGAGGGATCGATGCGAAAGCCGAGTACATATCCACCTCCAGTTTCTGCTGTTTGAATGACCAGGGCAGGTCCATATTTGGACTCACGAATGCGAAGCTGTAATTAGAAGATGCATGGTAATTCCAATGAAAAAGGGTGTAAAAAGTCCTTAAGATATTGGCCTTTTATATCAAAAAAAAAATTTGGTTGGTTAGATTTACCAATGCAGATAGTTAGTAACTACAAAAATTTTACTTTACTGTTTAAAATGTTGTATTTGTTTTTGTTGTAATTTAATAGTTAATAGTTATTGCATATTACGTTAACGTGATATGTTTATTTAGTTAAGCAATAGTAAATAGTTCATTAACTATCAAAAATAGATTTCGAGCGTAATATCCTTAAAACAAAAGTATGCAACAATAAGTTAACAACTTTTCTCCAATGTCTTGCTTATAATTCCCAACTAGGTCTAGGCCCTAGAGTTCTATGACAAACTCTGAAGAGTTAAGAACTTACTTAAAACATATATTCTCTTAAATAATCAACATATTTCCACATAGCTGGAAGTCACTTTAAAAATTGCATTTTGAAAATTATCTTTTTTGTTTTTCTTATAAAATACCATGATACAGTGACGCATACATGATTTAAATAATACTATAAATATATTAATTTTATAAGTATTTATTTAACTATATTTAAAGGTCGGATAACTATAAAGATAGTTATTTAACTACAATCCATGGATCATTATACCCTTTTTTATAGTTACATAACTATTTCTATCGTTAACATATTACGTAAGAGAAACGTTTTACTATTATACTGATAACTTTACCAATTGATGTTTTTGTGCCTACAGTTTCAAAAATGATTTTTTAATATGTCTGGTGATTACTATGATATTTTCGTTTAAACTTAATTTTAGACCATAAGTTTGCTCGGCAATATTGATTTAATCCTTTAAAGATTACGTTTCCCCCATTCGACCCTCCCTAATATACATATATGTATACTACCTGCGACAACTTTAAAACTGATGGACAGACGAAGATCGACTCGGCCGTTGATTCTGATCAATAAATATATACTTTATAAAGTCGGAAATGTCTCGTCTACTGAATTGAATACTTCCGACTGAAATAAGCTGTCGCTTTGATATCGAGTTTTATATAGCTTACACTTTCAATTTGTAGATACGGCAAACTTATGTTGAAAGTTTCGTTGGCATCAGCAAACCACACCAACCGAACGTTAGAGACCACAAAGCTGCCGAGGTTGCCCTGGTCGCTCGACAAATTCCAGACACCCTGTACCTGGCTGTAGACCTGCTCATCTGGTAGAATAACCAATTGTCCTGCTTGAACGATGGCTCCGCGCAGCTTCAGGTCGCGGTATAGATAAGTACGTTGATATAAGCTGTAAAAATATGATTTGTATAGATATTCAAAATTTCGCTGCCGATTTCCTCTTACTGATACACATCAAAGACACTGGCGAAGATGGGCTGATCCCGGCGTGACGTTTCTCCGGATACGTCGGTAAAAAGAAACTCGAAGCGAGTCTCATTACTAATGGCCAGGATGTAGAGGGCCTGACTGGCTATCCTTGCCTTCGTGTGCATGTGCACTATTCGAGTGTTTGTGTTACCAATCCGGGCATACCCAATGGCTAAAAGCGAAGTTCCTTTTTTATTATGGTTAACCCTATAAGAACTAATCACGTACACAGATTGTACTTCTTGTGGACCAGCGAGTGCCAAATAATCCGAAGATTGGTGACCATTAGACGCCCCGTGTCTCCCGGATTTCCTTTGCTGTCTTCGATGTGATAAATGTAATCAAGTACTTGCTCCCCGCTCCGTAGGTTTTTGTGCCTGACAGGAAAACAATCTATTGAGCCTGGTTAATCTAATTGGTTACCCATTTACTTACAATTGCGGGACATCGAATTTGACTTCCTTGTCTTCCCAAAGCAGCTGCAGCTGAGGCTGTTGGTTTCCTTCAATCGGACCCAGCGACTTTAACATTTTTTCCAGCCAATTTAATTATTTTGTTGTGGCTTTGGACTCTATTACTGCAAATCCAACGGTTGCCTGGCAACCTCTTTAAATTGTGCACATACTTCGTGCTTCGCCGTTCGCAGACATATATTTGTACAGAGGTAGAATTCAACTTCTAAGCTTTTCGTAATGTTTGATAATATCTTGAAAACATGTTTCCCCTGGAAAAATACATTTTCTTTGGGTATTTGATTTTACAATAACACTAGCAAAGTCGCCCGCAGCTTCGCCTGCGGATATCAAGATTGAAAATGTCGCGAATAGATTGGGTGCATCTAAACCTGGTCTTAAGTTTGCCTATGGCACTTATTAAATTAAATTAAACTTAAATCTCCTCATTTCCAGGAATGATTTTTTGTGGTTTCACTAAGGGGCATATTCCACATTTTTAAAGCTCTATTCTTTTGTTTTCAAAGGCTTACAAGTCAGATAAATACAAACACGTATTAATAAGACCTTTAGCAACAGTTTTTGGTACCATGTGATTTTTTCTTTTGCGCTTAATGAAAGTGCCATCATCATATTTTCAACAGTACCTTGAAGGGTATCGTGGACGATTTAATTTTATGTTAACAAATAAGACGCCAGAAGTGTAACTGTTTCAATTGATTTTTATTTGTCTTCACCGAACATTCAATATAATTTAGTACAATCAATCTCGATGCGCTCTGGTTGCGTTGGTAGCAAAAATGTGGACATATGGACGATTTTTTGAAGTTTGTGTGCGGTCAATCAACAGTTGAGTAATGCCATGGTACCCTTGGTTAGTTTGAAATTTAAAAAGAAATCGTTCAAACCAATTTTGAGAAAATATCCTACAAGTGGTTAATAATAAAAACTTTTAATATATCTTTAAATTGATTGTATTAAGATAATTTAACAAAGTTCGAGTGATTAGCAAATTATATAACCTTTTCAGTGACATATAGCACGTATCTTTAGTATTAGTTATTTAGAAACTATATTTCTTAATATTTCAGATTTATGTATATTCCGTAGCCATGCATGCAGCGCAAGTTTGTTCCGCGTTCATATCTGCGATTTTTTGATGTTTGTGGGCGGCTTGTGGGCGTGGCACCCTGCTGAATCAAACTTGCGCTGCGCCAGAAGCTCAGGAATCTGCATGCCAAATCCCAATAGCCTAGCTCTTGTAGTTTCAGAGATATCAGCTTCATACGGACAGACGGACATGGCTAGACCGACTCGGCTAGTGATCCTGATCAAGAATATATATTCTTTATATTCGAAATTCCTTCTGTAATTTCTCAATTGCCTTTAAGCCTGAGAATAAATAAATAAATAAAATATTAAATTAAAATCCAGTTTTATGTATTCCTTGAGATAATTGATTCTTGAAAGCATTGGTGCGTTAAAATAGAGTGCGTCCAGAATGTGTCTAGTTTGTTGGATATGGGTGCATTCCTGGGTACATGTTCCAGATGCATTATAAAAGAGTGCGTCCAGAATGTGTATAGTTTGTTGCATTTGGGTGCATTCCTGGGTACAGCTCACAGGTGCATTATAAAAGAGTGCGTCCAGAATCTGTCTAGTTTGTTGGATCTGGGTGCATTCTGGGTACATGTTCCAGATGCATTATAAAACAGTGCGTCCAGAATGTGTATAGTTTGTTGCATTTGGGTGCATTCCTGGGTACAGCTCACATGTACAATAAAAAGGAGTGCGTCCAGAATGTGCTTAGTTTGTTGCAACTAGGTGCATTCAAAAAATAAGCATCTAGATGCATGCAACGGGTGCATTCTGTTTTGTACCGCAACCGTGGAATAGGAACGGACCGACTCATCACCTTCGGCACAGGTTTTTGGTGCTATTTCATAGTGAAAGAACGGGTGCTGGAATGCAGTCATTTACGACTAGGTGGCACTTTGCCATTGGAATATTGTTCTTCGGTTTGGAGTCCACAATATCAAGTGCATATTGACCGTATTAAGTCGGTACAAAAAATTTCTTCTCTTAAAGTAAAATTTGTTTATAGTTACTAAACTATCAGCATTGGCCAATTTTACCAACCAAATTAATTTGTATGTACTTACACGTATTTAAAAAAGCCTACTATACTTTTAAATAAAAGTAAAGTCAGAAAGAGCCGCGACGAGGATTCGAAGTTGAAACTTTCCTTACAAAAAGTAATAGTCCCGTGGCCTCTAATAGCTGGACCACCCTGAAAACTGCTTCATCTTATTGGGTTCAATACGACTCGGAACTTTTTAAGAACGTTCGATCTTAAATCATTCGTTCTACATATTTCTGCGTGTAAGGTGCAGCTGGTGGTAGCAGCTCCTTCTCCTTTTTGCTGACGTGCAGAACCGCGTTGGGTAGAGGGCTCGCCATGTGTGGGATCCTCCAATCTGGGTCGCCTGGGTTCTGTTTCTGGAGCATCATCAGCGCCCGATCTCCTTGGCTGTTTTTTGGTGGGTGGCTCTGGGCGCTCTTCAGGTCTGAGTCCGTTTGAGATTTTGTTGTGACGGTACCGTTATATCTGACAATGGTTATAGATCTCAGACTTTACCATGTGATCTTTTAGGTTTTTTGTGTGACAGGTCACAAATATTATTTTAAAAACCTATCTCACCCCTAGTCCGAGTTACCTCAGGCTTACCTCAAAGGAGTTACCTTGGGCTGCTCCTTTTTAAATTTATTTATAAAATGAATCTTTCTTTAGTTCTAACAAAGATAATGTTAAGTTCTGCCCTGAAATATAAAGCGCCCTGCACAGAGTTGAGATATACTAACATTTTTGTACCACTGTCGTATATCACTGAGCTAGTAACTTGTATGTATAATAGACATACGATTTGATCTGCTAACGACTCACTGCGATTTTACGAAATGTATATAATAATATCGTATACTGTATTGTCTATGTGAAATAGAGTAAAATACAGCTTGAAATTAAAGCAAAGCTCGAGTTACCAATAAAAAACAAATTTATAAGTAAGTTCTTCATAAGCATATCAGCATGGCACCCAGGGCGGAAACGCGGAAGTCGCAAGCGCCTCGTCCTTAATGACCTCGCGTTGCAAAAGCGTTTTAAACAAGCAGGGTAGAATCAAGGTGAGGCCTTCTACAAGAGGCTGGTGCCATTCCTGTGAAAGTCTATGCGGCCATCAAGCTCGAGTGGTGGATTGGGACGTAATCTCGGATAAGCCTGCGGAGCCGAACAGGATTCTCCTAATGCCTGCCTTAGCGTGTAAAGAGGAGACGCTAAAGGCCGATTCGTGAAGACGGGGTATCCATGAAATCGGACGAATCGGCCCAAAGATTTCCAGGGTCTGGCCTTGGGTCTTGAGGTTGACAGTCTAAATCGGACTAAGGCAGACATCCCCGTTGTGGAAAGGCTAATGCAGAATGTCACGAAAAATCCCACCAGAAGCCAGTACTGACGCGCTAACGGATTTGGATATTATACCTCATAAAACAGCCACTGCGCAAAGAAAATACTATCACCACTCCTGTGGAAGTGACTTACATGTAATTGCCAACTCAGACTATGTTGCTTTGCCTTTAAAGGCATATACCCACAAACCCTCTGTGAGCGAGTGACCAACAGCCTTAGATTCTCATTAGACTATCCAATAACGAAAAGGATTAGCCTCTTCACTAGGAACTTGTAAAAACCAAAACTAAATCACCCTCCTCATGTTGAGACTATCTCAGGCTAACCGACAGGGTAAGTATCTTGGTCTTGTTCATGATAGGAAGCTAGACTAAAAACTCAACGTAGCAGAACTGATGCGGAAACCAACAACTGCACTATACACTCGCCGAAGGGCTATTGGGTTTATGTGGGGCATGCCACTAGTGATAGTTGGATGACCTTTTCCTCCAGGTACCCCCTATTTACACACATCTATACTGATGTATCAGGTGGGCGAAGGAGTCTGTGAAACTGATAAGAAACCAACTCCTAACGAAATCAGAGCTGGAACCAGCGCGGGCTCTACTTAAAGCTACACCTATCATCTTTCATCTGCTGTTCAAATCACTAGTGATATGAAACAAACCCCCAACGCTCAAGTGGCAACACAACGAGACTGATGTGCGTGGTTCACCGCAGCACCACCGCGTAAGAAACCTCCGTATGCCTTCCAAGATCTCAGCGCTCACCCGGACAGACAGATATGATTTGATCATGAAAGTATACACTTTATAGGATCAACCTGTGACATACCTTCCGATGAACTCAATATACCCTTTTACTCTACGAGTAACTTGTATAAAGGAAAAATTTCAACTTAAAAGTAAAAGTTCTTAATTATTTCTGCATATACCAGTTTCTCCTATTCGTATAAATAGAACTTACTCAAAAAAAATTCAAAGTAAACTTATAGATTTTTTTTTAAATTTATCTTTTACCTTTACTAATATTCAGTTTCCAATTCTGTCGAGTACACCATTTAAACTCTGGATTATCCAATTTTCAATCCAAATAAAATATTAATCCCACAGCTAACCCTCGCCTCTCTCGCGCACATAACAAAATTACAATGTTTTATAACTTTTTTAGCATAAATATTTGTTCATTTCTAAATTTTAGTTTAAGTAAAACAAAACTTCATTTGTGGAATATAATTCCCAATTACAATTCCATAGGAATTTCTTTATCCATTAGAAGTGTCAGGGGCGTGAAATATGATCGTTATGTCCAACTCTGCATTCCGCCAAGGATCATACATATGTGGTATTATTATTTTAGTTTCTTTTCCTATGCTAACAATAAAAGGGATTTAAAATTTTTTAATTTTTTCGTAAATACGTATGTATATTTGACTAACCAATAGAATTTTAAAAATTAAAAATATACTTCGCTTATGAAAGTACAAAATGTGTCAGCTAATGCGTTATATTCAGACTATAAGTCAGATTTTCCACCTTCATTAGAGAAGAATATTGAGCTTTAGTTTATAAATAGATAGCAAAGCTAACTGTTGGAAATGTTTTTCATTTTTTCTCTTCAACGAGCGAATTTGCAAATCGTAGGTAAGA